CTAGCTAACTTGACTTTTTATCTCGAAATTGAAATCATAAAATTAAATTTATGCACAACTTTAAAATCACAATACAGAAATTAAAATCTACTTTTTCAATGTAAAATTGATGTGTATGTGAGTGAAGAATGAAGTATTGTATTATGAATTCATAAGTTATTTCAATTCCAGACCCTTAATGATCAAATATGTTCTTTTATCATTTGTAAGATTCACATACCCTTGAACTTATTCTTTTCGCTCTTTTTTAGTGTGTGAACTAATGTTAGATTTTTTTTACTATCTTCACATACCTAGTTTAGGCAAAATTTTACCAATTACAGTTCAACATTTCAATAAACAAGGATTCTCTATTAAGTTTAATTACTTCAATCTTTAGGACTTAACTAGGCTAACAATCTCTTATCAAAAATTGAATTTTCTTAAACAAGTGTTCGAGACATAACCAAAGCATTTGGTGTGTCTTTCTATGCATCTGTTTTTCTGATTTTTTTTTTCAACACTCTTTTTTTACTTTTATTTTATTTTACTTTTTCTTTATTCGAAGCATTATCTCCCTTAAACTTCCCGATTTGATAGTCTTGATTTTGATCTTTTAATCTCTCGTCTCGAATCAATTGACGTGAATACTTAACTTTCACTTTTATTTTCATTTCGAGTCCGATTTATGATGTGTTGATTTTGGCAGTACTTGATTGATTTGAACGTTGAACTATCATCACTCAAAATCAATTGATAGAAATAATATTAATCTTATTTGTTATGATTAAAATATTAAGGATGAAATCAACCATATGTCAATAGAAATTACACGTGGCCGCATCTTCTCGGCCGAAACATCTAATCCTAACCATCCTTTGACATTCCTAACTTACAACACATTTAATGTTCTTACACCCTATTGACAAGACAAGACATATATACTTTTACAAGGGTAACATTTATCATTTTACAATAAATTCAAGACTTTTGTACATGGGCCGTCACTATCTAGGTAGAGCCTTGGAGTTGATCCACTTAGGCATGTACGCTTCAGCATGTCCACCTCGGATTGAATAACGAGCCTCGAAATTTACCCAGGGGCCTCATATTTCTTAGTTGATGCTTCGATTGGGGTGGGTCCATAGCTACAGTGGGTCAGCCCGCGGCAGTACCAGTGGCGAGTCATAACAACCGCCTTTGCCAAACTTAATCAAAGCCCGTCTTGCAATCAAATAGATTATTTATCTATTTCCCTCTGTGTGTAATATTAGCAACTTATAAGGAATAATGGTAGGTTCGATGAAATGTGTTGATAATATTCCATATGTCCCATAAATATAGACTTATTTTTCTTTTTCGTTTGTCCCAAATTATAGACAACTTTTCTTATTGAGAATATAGATGATTTTTTAGTTTTCTAATATGACTTTATTTAATGTGTCTTATTATAAAAAATAAAGATAATTGCAGCAAAAACTCCAAACATTTGAAATACTTATAGTCTTTCTCCAAACCTTTAATTTGTTGCAGCGTTACCCCTAACATTTTCAAACGTTGCACGTAAAGTCCCTTTGGGCAATTTTCATCCATAATTCTGTCAGTTATCCAAAAATTTAACTTTGATCGCATTTTTAATATTTTAAAAATGGGAAAAAGAGTAACTTTCCATTTTCATCACATTAAATAATTAAATTTAAAAATAAGAAGAAAAAAAATCAATCAAACACACGCTCGCGCGCGCACACACACAATCATCTTCTTCCTCTCGCCCCCACTCATTCCCACCCGACCTCAAAGCCTCCATTTGGATTAGATTTCTTCATTTTCTTCGAATTCGCGAATATGGAGTTAAAAAAATTTGTAAGGTGGGCTCCAGGAGAAATAGGTTGTTTCACCTTGTTTACATTGGCATAAATTTTCATGGCCCTAGATTTCGATTTGATCAAATTGTCATCCACTTTATTTTCCTGCTTTTTTTGGCAGAGAAACTCCTCATTTTGGTTATGAAATAAGTGATTTTCAACCCCTGCACTTATCCCTAAAGGTTTGTGAGTTTTTGCTGCAATTATCCCTAAAAAATATGAACTACTCACATTTAAACCATTATTTAATGTAGGAGTCTACTAGGAAAGTGTAAGAAAAATTTATATTCTCAACTGTATAAATTAAACCATGTCTAGATACCCGAAAGTTGATTTTCTCGAAAAAGTTGAAAATATTTTCTTAATTTGCGTGAAAATGGAAGCATGTCTATTTTTGTGAGACGGTGGAAGAAAATTAGTAATAATAATAAATCTGTGACTAAAATTAAAGTTCGATTTTAATTGAAAATTGTAAACTTATTCAAATATAGGAAATAATAACTATCACCTATAAACCTTGTAAAATTAGAATAACTAAAAAAACACGATATTTTTAAAGTCATATAAAAATATCTAACTTGAGAAATCTAGAGTATGAAAGCATAATCAAATCTATATAGGAATAAGAAAACGAATATTACACTTCTCAAAAGTCAA